GCGCGACCTTCACCCGCGAGTAACACGCCGCTTCTTGCTTTCCTGTTGATCGAGGCTTTTGTGCAACCGCGGAGACCAAACGACGATTTCTACGCCGCTGGCGATTTATACAAGTTCTTCTACTCCCTCTCTCTCTCTGTTTCTCTCTTTGATCTGGTCCCGTCGTCGATTAAAATGGCAGAGAGAAACTGTGGCTTAAGGTTTTCGCGCCACTGGCCTGGATATTATGCACGACCGAGGAAACGAATGGATGTAATCGATGGAATAATTTCAATGTCGACGCGATTTAGATGCTAATTAACCGTATACGTGTGCAACAGAGGTTGATTGTTGGTTGTAAAAAAAAAGGACGTATTATGTTAAGATCGAATGTACGAAATTGGTTTTACACGGTGATTCCGGTGGGGTTAATTGAATCGAAGGAATTTTCCTTTGATTATGAATATTGCGGTAAAGATGGCGGAGGTAGATTCTTGCGTAATTGTAGGTCAAGTTTGTGTTGTGGTTGGTGGAAATAGATCATGGAAGAAATATGAATAATTTATATTCAACATTTTCTTTCTTGTTTTTTTTTGTGAGACAAGGGAAATTGTAAAAAATGATTGTAAGATTGTGTGTTTTATTGAAAGTGCTTCTAAATTGTATTTATACTATTGTTCAGTCATAATTCCTTTTCTTAAATTTCAAAATTTCATTCGAGAATTAGTATTACAAAATACAACTATTAGTTCGTAAAGCAAATTGAATTTATGAATTATTCTCGGAATATTCTCCAATGAAAGATCTTAGAGATATATGAGTGGATGAATACCCATGGAAGATAGAAATCTTGAAACCTAACCATTACTCATCTCAATCATCATCAAACTTGCTTTCCTTCATTCTAAATATAAATAACCAACAAATCAATCACTATTAACCTAACCCAAAGAATAAATCGTATTCCACGTAAGAAGTAACATTCTTTATAAGCAGAACAAACACGTTTTCACACTTAAATTCCTCGTTTAATTTCATTTTTCGACTTGTTCATAACAGGCGATATTTTCTCTGCTTTCTGTCTAACAGATTTCCCAAACAAATGAATAAATAACATTTCTAACCTTCATTTCTCGCGTTTGAAATATCGCATACACTTTTCTTACGAGCAACAGAAAAAAAGGGAGAGAAAAAAAGCAGATTCCAGTGAGTTTCCTTTCTTTAACAGAGTTTTTTCTCCTGCATCTACAAGGGTATCCTTGAAAGGCGACCGCAGGAAAAATCGCACAGGCGCAGGATGACCACGCTGATAATAGGAGCCTCGTTGAGCCGGCAGCGCGTTTAAACGGCGCGGCGACGAGTCGAGCCCACAGATTCCTTTATATCCGTGCCAAGGATATCTCGCGACACTCGACCCTGCGGTTCCTCCACGAGGCACGAGGATAACGCGGCTGTCTCGTCGTTATTCGCACTTGGAGACACTCGTGCCGCCTGTTTCCGCTCTTGTTCTTTCAAAAGCGACATCCTAATGGTCGGTGTGATTTTAGCCAAGCTGGGAGAACAGCTTTCCCTTCTGGGTATATCGCCTGGGAAGATCATTCTGACTTTTCATTATTACGGAGAATAGTAGAACGAAGGAACCTTTGAATTTCTGGTATATCGAGGGTGAAATTTGCTACTATGTACTTGAATCTCTCTCGCTCTCTGATTATTAGGAAGGTGGAAGTGATTTTCTTAATTTGTGATCTCGTTGAGGTGACAGACAGTGTTCGGTATTCTGACTTTAACTAATTTCTGAATGTTTGGGTTTTTCAATCTTTCAGTCTTAGAATTTTTGAGCCTGTAAGTATTTGAATCATTGAATCTTTGAGGCTTTGAATTTTTTAATGTCTGAATCTTTGGATCCTTGAACTTTTGAATCTTTGAGGCTTTGAATTTCTTAATATCTGAATCTTTGAATCCTTGAACTTTTGAATCTTTATATCATTAAATCTTTGAGTTTTTGAAACATTGAATCCTTGATCTTTTAAATCTTTGCATCTTTGAGGCTTTCAATTTCTTAATATCTGAATCTTTGAATCATTGAACTTTTGGATCTTTATATCTCTAAATCTTCGAGTCTTTGGAACGTTGAATCTTTGAATCCTTGAGTATTTGAATCTTCGAGTCATTGAATCTTTGAATCTTTGCACTTTTGAGGCTTCGAACTTTTTAATATCTGAATCTTTGAATCATTGAACTTTTGGATCTTTATATCTCTAAATCTTCGAGTCTTTGGAACGTTGAATCTTTGAATCCTTGAGTATTTGAATCTTCGAGTCATTGAATCTTTGAATCTTTGCACTTTTGAGGCTTTGAACTTTTTAATATCTGAATCTTTGAATCATTGAACTTTTGGATCTTTATATCTCTAAATCTTCGAGTCTTTGGAACGTTGAATCTTTGAATCCTTGAGTATTTGAATCTTCGAGTCATTGAATCTTTGAATCTTTGCACTTTTGAGGCTTTGAACTTTTTAATATCTGAATCTTTGAATCATTGAACTTTTGAATCTTTATATCTCTAAATCTTCGAGTCTTTGAAACATTGAGTATTTGAATCTTCGAGTCTTTGAAACATTGAATCTTTGAATCATTGAGTATTTGAATCTTCGAGGCTTTGAATTTTTTAATATCTGAATTTTCGAATCTCTGAGTCTCTGGTCTTTGAGTCTTTGGATCTCAGAACTAATCAAGATAATTCCTGAATTTTTCCATTGTCCCTAATGCAACCTCTAATATAATATAATTTGATCTCCTGCGAGTATAAAGTGTACCGATGTTTCGATGCTCGATGAAAATTTCTCCTTATAGATTTCCCAACGAAATGCCTCATTACCATTCTCCTAAGCCATTCACCACTGCCTCGTAGACTCACGAGGGGTGGGTACCATTAAAAGGGATTCATTAAGGGATACATAATATCACGTAAGGAAGAAATAAAAAAAAATGGGCGACGCAGAACGTGCAAGTTTTATTCAAGAAAAATCTCATAGCATAGAAAAATAGTGCTCGTTAAGCCATTCAATTTTCCCTCTTCACTCGGAAAAGAGAGCTTTAGCCGTACAATTGCCGTGTTTCAAGGGGCGTAAATCACTTCGACCAGAAATTTCTATTTTCACTTCATCTTTTTTCTTCCAATATTTTCCCAACGAAAGATTTAAATATTCAGTACTCATACACATGTATGGATACCAACAACAAGGCTTTGAATAAACATTAATTCCACCCAACACGGGGAGCTTTTGAAAATCAACCGTGTCCACTAGAATTTTCAAATGTATGTTTTTTCAATAAAGATTCAATTATCTGATCACTCTCAAATGTAAAAAAATAAGTGCCGAGATACAGTCATAAAACAATTTTAAATACTGAAAATTATAGAAATTCTAAATTCTCCAATTCCCATTTCGCAATGAATTCAAAAATTTTTAAAAATTACAATTTTAAACCTGAAGTCTTAGATTCCCTAAATTTTCAAGAGACCAAATTCTCCAATCCCTCTTTTAGAATAAATTTAAAAGTCCACCAATTATAATTTTAAATCTGAAATTTTTTAGATACCGTGAATTTTCCAAATCCCAAATTCCCTATTTTTGAATTAATTTGGAAGTTCGCAAATTACAGTTTGGAATTTTTAAATAGCTTCCAAAGTTTCAAAATTCAAATTCTCGAATCCCCTTGCTGGAGTAATTTTAAAAGTCCGCAAATTACAATTGCAGATCTAAAAATTTTTAGATACCCTAAATTTTCAAAATCCTAAATTCTCGAATCCCTATTGTGGAGTAAATTAAACAGTCTACAAATTACAATTCTAAATCTAAAATTCTCCAGCACGCATTTCACGTAATTCACAGGGCAATAAATTTGATAGATATAATTCAGATTAAAATCGACTTAGGAAGATACAATTTTCCTAAGACATTCCACCACGATCATCAATATCGTAATCGAAGGAAGAAACGTATCGAGACGTCGATTTCGAACCAAGATATAATTTCATTGTTTCGAACGATCATGGAGGATATCCGGGATCGAGCTGTTCCATTTGTTCAGAGCGGAATATCAGCCGGACCGCACGAGCGTTCTGTAAATTTGACGAGGACGAATCCGCTTACGGGGCACGGTCAACTATTTCGTCCGAGTATTTCCTCCTGTTCTCCATCATTTTCTTTCATCAATCGTTGATAAAGCTCGCTTCTCTAGCTTTTCATCTCATGGAAAAATAAACTCGAATACGAGCAGGCACGTAATCACAGTTAAACGTAACGTTTCCTCTTACTGTTTCTACAGTTGAAATCATATCGATTCCACGAACGAGAAGGTCTTTATTCAGAATTTTTCCAACGGAACGGAGAAATTGTTTCGTGTCGAGGGAATTGTCGTGTTCGATCGCCATTCAGAAATTAAACTTAACACGTGCGCACGCGAAATACAAGAAAATCTGCGCGTGGAAGATAAAGATGGTACCACTTCCGGTTGCAGGAGCAGTGAACTCCAGGTCCAATTGCAAAATTGCTCGTTACCAGATTTTTCAAGCTTTTCAGTTACTGTAATATTGAAATCGAAGTTTTTCAAGTGAAAATGAAATTTTACAGTATAAGTGTAATTTTTGAAATTTTGTGAAATTCTTGAGAAAGAAATTTTATACAATTAAACGCGAAATTTAATTTTTGAGATTTTCTGAAGTTTTTGAGAAAGAAATTTTATTACAATTAAACGCGAAATTTAATTTTTGAGATTTTCTGAAGTTTTTTTGAAAGAAATTTCATACAATTAAACACGAAATATGATATCTGAAATTTTGAGACTGAAATTTTCAAATATTTCTCAAATATTGTTACCGCAAAATTTTTTAAGTATTCCAACGATCTGGTTTGCATAATTTTATTCGGTGTATCAGTTCTTTCGAAAATATTTATCAACATTACGATCAATTTTGCACTTGAATAACAAAACGATGTAAAATATATTTTTTCTCACCTGTGAACGACGTTAGCCAGCAAATCATTGTGCCGCAATCTGTAATCTACGTCCACCTTCTGATAGTTCACCGTGAGAGTACCAGCACGGATACAACGCTCGTATTCTTCCGCTGGATGCGCACGAAACTCTCTGGCGAACACTTCGAGGATCTTCTCACCCACCCATCTGCCTTTCGTGAACGTGGTGAAGGTGAAGTAATAAGGGTATACTTTCCGGAGTCCTGTGGAACGAGAGTAGAACACCTTCTGATTAAATTTACTCCAGTGAAAATTATGCTTGAAGCCGTCAGAGGGGTGATTAATTAAATTTTGAAAATTGATACACGATTAAATTAACATTTATTGAAAACATGTACATGTGTTTGATAATACTATTCTTAGATCATTAATTCACAAGTCGAGACTGCATTACCATACGACATGCCTTTTTTAACACAACCAAACGATCGTTCACCTTTTCAGATGACGATAAAACACGTTTCCCTCTAGGTTAATACTTTACGATTTGAATCAATGATATCATCGATTGAATATCTATGGAAATGAACAATTCTATTCTTCACTTCTGTACTCCTTTCTGTGTCGATAGACGTGTCAATTTTTCCAAGGTAGTTTCGATCGATTTATTTTTCGAAACGGCTAAGATTTTTCAATTTTTCATACGCCCTTTTTCCAAACTTGCAATTTTGTCACGGTGATAAGTGGAAAAGTGAAAAATTCTATTTACTCTAAAATATAAATAAACCGATCGTCCCTCTATTCGAATTCACGTAACAATTCTTCAAACAGAAAAATCGTTCCTCTTGACCAGGTACATATTATTAAAAAAAAAAATTCAACGAAACGTGTATAACGAGTGCAACTGGTTTTTTAAGGCTAAGAAACACGTTTGTACAATCCAGGTTTTACGTAAGAAGAAATCGAGCAGTCCCAAGTCCGGTGATCCCATTATCATAACCTTTAAATAGTGTCGCGATTGTTTCGTAATTAATTACAAATTGGCACAGCGGCCAGCGTGGACGAAAATAAAGCCGGTCCGTACCATCGCGCCAATCGCGTAAATCACAATAAAATCCGGAACGTGCGGCGACGATTATCCGCAAGAGAGACGCGTCGACACTTCACGTCCAACGCGGAGAAATGCTTCGAGCGTCCTTGCCCGTCTGTCCATCCTCTTGGCCGTGCTTCAAAAATCGAGCACGCTGGATTTTTCAAGGATTATATTTCGCCCTGGTTGGAAAATCGCGCATTGCGTTTGGTTGAATTGTGCGACAGCGGGAGAATCGAATCGTGTTCTCGTGAATCGTGGAAAAGATAGGAGGCTGGTTTCATGTTCGATACCGCCTGTGATTTTCGAATTACACTTTTTTCCTTCCTTCCCTTTGGCCTGAATTTTGGTGCGAAGATAAGTGGAAACTTGGTAATAAAAAAAAAAAACACGCGAATTTTTTATTCTGTCCCTTTGAGCTGAGTTTCAGAGTGAAAATAGGTGGAAATTTGGAAACTGGGAATTTTGTTGTTGAAAATGAAGGAGAATAAAAATCTTTTATTTGACCTCTTTGAGCTGAATTATGGTGGGAAAATAAGTGGAAATTTGCAGTTTTGTTGTCGGAAATAAGGGGAGATTAAAATTGTTTATTTCATCTCTTTGAGCTGAATTTTGGAGTGAAAATTTTTTATTACTGTCAGAGGTTCGTTCACGACTGAAAGACGGACAAGCACGGAGCCGCAGCCGCAGAAAACAAAAGAAAATCGGCGGGCGACGCCCGTCTGCGGATGCATATGAGTAACCAAATCGATCTCGAACAATGACGTATTAATTAAATTTTGTTAGCGAGACTACGATACTTTTCCTTCCTTGATTAAATTTTACGTCGAAGTAAACGAAGATTACAATCTTTTATTTTAATTAACTTTCATTCTTCGACGAATTAGAATTGCAAAATTTTGATCTATTTATTCTGTTCAATTTTTCCGCTTGCAAAGATAAAAATTGTAAATTCATGTATTTTTCGAGGAATTTTTAATAGCCTCTGTACGCGATACGCAAATTTCCATCGAATCGACTAGCATCGTGCGATCCCTAGATTAGCGTATAACATTATCATTGTTTATCGTCGTTTAATCATCCGAACGAACAATCCTCTTACAATGAAAGTTACAATAAATTTCGAAACGATCATACATACTGTATAATATCACGGGTAATTCCAGTGAATTAATTGCTCGTATCGTCGGATACGTTCACAAGCTGACGTACTAATCGAATGAATTTAATTAGACATGCAAATAAGGGGTTCATTACTAAACGTGAAAATATTTGACTACGCGATAATAAAAGGTGAAAATAAATTACCTCGTCGTTGCACGTGTCAATAGCATCTCGAAATAAACAGTAAGTGA